TCAAAACCACACCTAACATTCTGACATCAATCATAGATATTTTCAAAATTAAAATAATCTTTCTACCCTCCTGTTTATTTCCACTCTACCCATCCCAGATGAAACTAGGTGTAAATGCTCTAACACTGGACCAGAAGCTACTTTTGAGCTGCTTGTCCATTACAATGCTTAAATCTACTTCAAAGTCACTACACCTAGGACACAGTCTCCTCCTCCTGTGGAACACAGCAAATTGTGTTTGCTTAGGTTTAAAAAAGCCAAAACAAAATAAGCCATCTCCCTCCCCACAAAATCTCACTTCGGATGAGAAATAAAATTGCACACAGCATCCTCATTCTCTTTGCTCCTCCCCCCATACACATAGTACTCTTTATTTACAACAAATTTGTATTAGCATTTATGTTATATTCAAAACTGCTGGGGGAAAAAAAAGCTATTGTAATGGGATTAGTATAAAAATGTGCTCATTAGAAATGCTACACTCAACGACAATCCTCCGGTAATAATTTTTTATATGTTAATTAACTAACTTACCAATCCATTTAACAAATACTTTCTTGACACTGCATAATGCAAATTTCTTAGTAAGAACAACATCTACAAAAGTCAACCATTTCCACAAAATCAGGGAGACTGGCATTAATTTAATTTCGATTCTTCAGTTATCCACTGTGTGAATCCAGAACCAGCTCCTCCATTTATCTTCCTGGACTAAAATCTGACTGACAGCCTGCGGTTATACCAGTCCTCAGCTTGGCTGGACTTTGCTTATTTCTTAATATTGGCACATAGTAGCATTCTTTTAGTGCCTGGAATTTCTCTTGCACTCCAACATTTATCAAAAATAAAAAGCTAATCAGAGATCTCAGCCTAGTTTTCATATAATCATAGAATAGTTTGGGTTGGAAGGGACCTTTAAGGGTCATCTAGTCCAACCCCCTGCAATAAGCAGGGACACCTGCAACTAGACCAGGTTGCTCAGAGCCCTGTCCAACCTGACCTGGAATGTTTCCAGGTAAGGGGCAGCTGCCACCTCTCTGGGCAACCTGTGCCAGGGCTTCACCACCCTCACTGTTAAAAATTTCTTCCTTGTATCTAGCCAAAATCTACTATCTTTCAGTTTAAAACCATTATCCCTTGTCCTACTGCAACAGGCCCTGCTAAAAAGTCTGTCCCCATCTTTCTTAGAAGCCCCCTTTCAGTACTGGAAGGCTGCAAGAAGGTCTCCCCAGAGCTTCTCTTCTCCAGGCTGAACAACCCCAGCTCTCTCAGCCTGTCCTCACATGAGAGGTGTTCCAGCCCTCGGATCATTTTTGCGGCCCTCCTCTGGACCCACTCCAAAAGGTCCATGTCTTTCCTGTGCTGAGGGCTCCAGAGCTGGATGCAGGACTCCAGGTGGGGTCTCACCAGAGCGGAGTCAAGGGCAGAATCACCTCCCTCACCCTGCTGGCCACACTGCTTTTGGTGCAGCCCAGGACTCCAATAATTCAAAATGTATTTGCAGACTATTTTCAACAGATGCTAACTCTTAACAGACTGAATGTCATTTTATTATCCATTAGTGAAACAAATACTTTACCCTGCTTCACCCAGAACAAGTATTTTTTGCAAAACCTTCTCCTTTTTCCACATCATTATTAAAAGTTTATCCACCTCCAACTAAGAATAAGCCCATAACAATCAGATAATATAAACCATATAAAAACACACATTTTACTTAAAAACAAGTCTTATAGCTGAGTAGACTTCATATTTGCCCATGATCTTTAGTTTCTCTTTAATTTTCCTAGACTTCATAACTAGTTGCCATTCATTCTATATTATTTGATTCTGACAGTGGCACAGGACATACTTTCACTATCTTCTTCCTCAAAAAGTCCTTCTTGTTCTTTTTTGTTGTTGTTTACACTTCCCTTTCCAGTTAGTTTTGGTCATACTTCCATTTTGCTTTTGAAAATTACTCTTCCTGAGCACTCAAATATGTAATTTTACTGCTTGGAAGTATCTTTTGGTTACATGGAATGTTAGAAAATTATGGAGAAGACTGTCCCGATGCAACACAAATTTCTAGATTAGCTCATCACTGTAAGGTCCCACAAAGCTGCTCAAACAAAATGACCTCATACTGGATGCAGTACATTTTATGCTAGAAAATCATCATTTGCAATTTTCAGGCTAATTACATTTCACCCTTTTCTGCATTTCATCTACAAGCATAAGCTTCCCATACAACGGTATTTTTTCTTTATATGCTTTTTATAGCCAAGTGCTCAAGAAGCAATGCACCTCACTCTTCATTTGCAACAGACCCCTACGAGTATTATCCTCTTGGGTTTGTTAATTAGTAGACTGATTGATTATGTATTCAAGATCCCTGTATTAATTAACTTTAAGGCAGGTACCAGTGTCTTTAATGTTGCATACTGCCCTCCACCTCTTTTAGCTTCTCTGTCCTTAAGAACATTGTAAGCACTGATTCCACATTCTTATTTTATGAATTGTCAGATGAGGTTTCCATATATCAATTATATCTAATTTTTCCCCATTAATGAGAATTTCCCATTTATCATGCTTTTCACCAGGTCTTACCACTGATGTAAAACCAACTGCAAATCTTGTTTTCAATTCTGTTATAAATTTAATTGGCTCCTATGACACCAACTTTAAATTGCATTTATCTACCGAGGACACTTTGCTTGGGCTATCAGTTAAGCCCGTTCTTGGTTGCTACAAGCCTCAAGCTAGGAAGATTCCCCATGTCCCTTCACACAATCTGCCTTCCTATGGGACTTTGTCCCCATGTCCTGCACAAAGAAACCTGCAGATTCACTCTAGCCAAATCCAACAAATTCCCCTCCAGTATTTTTTTTTGTGGATCTTCCTTTTCATTACATCTTTCTCAGACTCCTAGTTTCCTTTTTCTTAATAGTTGCACTCATGATGCCTGTCAACTTATCCACCATTTGGCACCACAAACAGTACCAAATACCTTGTAGCTATGTCTCCTGCAAATTTCTGCTTCATCCCTCCACAAATAGTTCCCACTATTAGCCAGCTTACTTGAATATATGTAAATGACTTTATACTTCCTGTCATGTTGAATGTCTCCCAACCCTGGGGTTGGGTTTTTGGCTACAAGCCACCAGTGCACTCTTCTGGATCCTACCTATTTGTTCTGTGGCATCAGCGGGAATCACTTCCCATTCTGACTGTTAAAAAATAAATTTTTCATTGAAAGTTAAAAGATTTCATGAAGAAAAAGGTTTCATGGTTTGGCAACTGAATTTTTCTTTTGCTTTTTAGCAGATTTGAATGGCAACAGAGCAGGCAAACAGAGCAACAGGGCAGGAAAGGTCTTAAATGCAGCTTATACCGATGGGAATATTTTAGTATTGCTGTGAAGCGCTATGAAAGTTTACATTCACTAAAAAAAATATTAGGGGCAACTCAAGCCATTAATCCAAATGTAATGGAGAATTCTGAAGTTCATGACTATACTTCTCTACCTATGAAGTGAGCACAGTGACACCACCGTAGCAATATACTAATGTAATATTTATGAAGGTACATCAGTGACCCAAAGAGAAATATCATAATAATTGTATATAACAATTAAAGGTGGAAACAAATGCGGCATATGCAAAGAAAATAAGCAATGACTGATGAGGTTGTTAAAGAAAAACATTTATTGTCTGCCATGTTGTTTTACTTTTAAGATGTGATTATTCTTTTAGAGACCATCATAACACATCTGCAGAAGGTATCTGAATTGAGACCCAAGTCTCGATGTAAGAACAATACTGCTAAATGATGTTTAACATTTCATAATGATTCTCTTTACTTGCTCTGTGTGCAAACCAAGCACCTCAGCTCCATTACACCAGGATGGTCTGAACCTCACATAATTCTTCAACAGGATCAGAACCTTCAGACCCAAAGTAGTGGCCACTGCCACGTGAGCTACCAGAGCACTTCTCCTTAAAAGCAATTTATCGTCCCACTTAAGTACACAAGGCATTTACTGGACTACAGAATTTTACAAGTGTTTGCTGACAGCATAGTTTCCTGATACACTAAGAGGTGCAATGAAGCAAAAGTCTCAAAACTCTCAGTGAAAAGCAAGCTGTTCTGTCCATGACATACCTCCATTCTCACAAACAGCTAACTGGTTTTGTCTGAAGCTAAAAACCAACAAAGCTTAAAACCTACAGTCTAAAGCATAACCAGTGAAATTTCTGTCCAAATGGTTATCAACTTGGTAGCCACAAGGAAGTTAAAACAGCGTTATAACCGAAAGATTGGTCAGCACCCTGAATCAAAGGTGCTATCAGCCCAGTTTAGAGTTGTGATCATTTAACAATAAATTCAGCTGTCAGCAGAGAGGTCACTGAAGCACAAAGCAACTTCTGGGGGACTGTCTTCAAACCCACTGGAGGTCACATACAAAGAGAGCTTTTCAGGAATCACACCCCACGTGTTTAGCAGAGAATTTGGCAGTATTAGCAAAATTTGGCAAATTTTGAGAAGGTCTTGGACTAAACAGCCCTCGTACAGCTAGTCACAACTAAGGCATGCAACAACAGTTTTACTCTAGTGCTGCCAGGATTACTACTCCTTTGCTTGAGTATCAACTTAAACTCCAGATTTTGAAAACAGTATTTGAATGCTATTTACAGATTGATATGTCATGACTACTAATATTCCAGCAATGATGTTAGCCCAGGCATGTACTGCATTAGGATTTTTGAAGGCAATCTGTGATATGTTTAAAAGTGAAATTACTGTATCATTAAAGAGAAAATTATTATTGTTCTTTTGCAGAGGTTTTTTTTTTCTTCCCCTTTAAATTTAAAATCTTTCTGCCAACTTAAAAAAAACACTTTTAATTTAGTACAACTTGGGAAAACAATGAGTTTTTATGTTTCAGATTTTTTTTTTTCTTTGTTTTTAACTGTGAAAAGTCTGAGCGTTAACTGATCTAGATTTGACTGGGTACTCACTCTGTCGCACAGCTCTTCAAACGTGAAGTCTGCAATGGTTCCACACGCTTTATTCAGCCTCAGCTCTCTGCCTTGCACTTTCAGAATCCTTGGTCTAGTTACTATGGGAACATGAACAAAGACTCAATCTTCTCTGGGTAATTACTATAAAATTCATCTCTTACAGATAGGAAATGCATAGCTTGATGAATAATAGCACATGATTCAACACATAAATTAGACAAAATGCTGATACAATGACTGCCACTTGAGTGTGGCATCAACCCATATACAGCAATGGAACTTATTAATTGGTCAGTGGAGATTGGGCATTGTGTTCTAAATGTATTCTCTTTCAAGAGAAATTAACTTACGTACAATCATTTTGTTTCTGAGCCAGCTCATCAAACAACTTATCCATGACAGCCTCCACATCAGCTTCACTTGTGCTACAGTGAAAAGAATAATAGAATATGAAATTAATAACACTTGAAGCCAACATCAAACAGCTGCCTGAGCCTGCTTAGCTTTTTGCCCATAAAAAAGAGAACAGGATGTTATGCTCTAAATACAAACATTAGATTTAGAATACACTTAAAAGTAGAGAATATTAACTCTCAGGTAGATGATTCTGCCTTATTTGCATACACTGAAAGACTTCTGTGTTTTGAGCCGTTTCCAGTAATGAGGCAATACAGGCAGAGAAGATCCATTAACACTATGTGTACACAATGGGAAAAAAGGCTTCTGGCTCTATCTTGCATGCAAAATAAGAGCAAATAGACAAGGGAAGGCAGTCAAGCACCTAAAGAAGTATCCTTTGAAATTTCTGAGAGGGGACTTTCTGAAATTAAATATTGGAGCAGTTTTCTGGGGGTTGGGAGGTGGGGGGAATCAAGTCAACTGATTGTATTGATCAAACAATTTACAAAATTAAACTATGAAATTCAAAATACCAGCATGTTCTCTGCATTAGTAATTTGATCAGTTTCCCCCTCTTTGTCCCCAATACTATTTGAGAAAAGATCAACCACAGAGAGTGAAAATGCAAAATATGTGTGCTAAAAGCTGAAGTCAAGTTTATAGTCATCTTCTAATTGCCACAAGGATTATGAATCAGTCTGATCAGAGAATATTTTTGTCATTGAATGGGTTAGAGGGCCAACCTTTTCGTGCTTCATTCTTCAAGATAAGTAGATAGATAATATTTCTAGCTGAGTTTGAAAGCTGAGTATGGTAAATTAATGCTACAGTAGACAATAAACTAGGATATATAACGCTTCACTGAAGTTTGTATAATCTCATTTGATGTGAAAATCTACTTTTATAGATCGTGGATGCAACCAAGTTGCATTGCCTCACACAGTTCTAGACCTCCTCCTCTTCTAGACCTCACAAGACAAGTGATGATCAGCATGTTACACAATTACTTTCCTGTTCATTAGTCCTTAAGAACCTTAAAAATGTTAACAGCACAACTGAAATAACTATTTTTTGGCTGAAGCTTAACAATAGCAAGCCTTGTCGATACAAAGAATTTGGAAAAAAACCCCCACAAACTTCTGCAAGTGCCATTTCAAACACTTTAAAAAAATTCTGAATAGGAGATCACATAAAATTGTAATTTCAAAAATAGAAGTTTCTCTCAACATGGATATTTCTGTGCTGCTTTCCTCTGACAAAATGATAAATGAAAAGGAACAGACAAAGCCAGAAAAAAAGCCATAAAAGGGGGGAAGGAGTGCATATATATATCAGAGAGTATGCACACTCGTATGCATATAACTATCAAAAAATTTGATGTAAAGGCTACAAGAAAAGAAATAGCCAAATATGACACCTAGGTGGATATTTGCACCCTATTGCCAAGAAAGATTGTTTTGAAAACAGACACCTGAAACGGAGATCAAGAAAGTTGCTTTGATCAGGAATCTTGTAATTGTGTTGCACTGATTGCTTTCAGATGAGTATGAAACAGCTTTAAGCAGCCCTCAGTTGCCTATTTTAAACAAAGAAAAGACTACACAAATTATGAAGCATCAGGAGGATTTAAAAAAAAAAGTGGTGATGATGATATCATAATAATTAACAGGGGAATGTAAACATGTTGGACAAGAATATTTTCTTTTTGGGGCAAGACTGCTAACTGAATTACAAAAATCTGTAGCAAAATACTGCTTATTTCCTCATTTTAAAACAAACAAAAAAATCCCCACATACTAAGCTAGTTCTGCAGGGTTGAAAGCTCCAGTGAACAAGTTTGAATAGAAGAATGAATGAGATTCCCTCAGAAAAAGAAAGGATGATCTTATTTCCATTGGCAGCTACTGGATTTTTTAATCCCCCCCCCCGATACTTCCTAATGATTTACACAAGTTCTAGAAGTAAACAACATACTTCCAATAAGAGAACATGAGACAGACTTATATCATCAATCTCTGCCATTCGCCTGATCACAAGTTTTACAGCAGAACACCATGAAATACTTGGGCTGGGTACTACTCCTGGGATTCGTTCCTATTTCTACTCCTTTGAGAGTTGATGCCAGGGGCACCATGTTTAGCCTATTACCTGCTAGAAACCACATATGTGCTCTTCCTTTCTTCGGAGTATGGACAGTGAGAAAAGAATATGGTAGGTGCTCTCCACAATTATCAGAGTGCAATGGGCACAATAAGCAGAGCCGTAAGCAGGGACAGCTACATAGACATCGGAACAAGAGCCACGATGAGCAATGCTGAGATAACAGTGGTGGCTTCAAACAGTACTTCTGAGCAGACACCACAAAACTTAAAGAAACTGGAGTCAGGCAAGAATATAGAACAAGAGTTACTTTTCTTGAGTTCATGCAGTCACACTTTGTTTAAAGACACAGAACCTGCATTTGACCTGTTTTCCATATATAAAATTCTGTCATTTCCTTCCAGAAGCAGTTACCTGTTATAATTCTATTAAGCTGTACTCCTGCTTCCAGACAAGCAACTACAGTTTCTAAGTTTATTACAAAGTCACATGGACATACTTCGTTTCAAATATAGGTTACATCAATGAAAATACTGCACCTTTCTTCACGGAAACATGATTTTTAAATCAATATTGTATGTTGCGTTGAAAGAGACAATGGTTGCAAATCTAGTTCTAAGCTATCGTTGTTTGCCTTGCTCAGACTGTCATTGATTAAATAATACTATATGGGAAAAATGTGTGCAATGCAAAGGTTTCAAAGTATTTAAAAAAAAAAAAGAGGCTGTTTCTATTAGGCAGATATACGCTGCAACCATAAGCACAAGTGAACGTATTTTTAAATATATTTATTTGCAAATATAGAATAAAGTGCTAAAGAAATTTTGTCATGATAAACAGAAACAATCTGTCAAAATAGGAGGGTGTTGGGTTTTTTTTAATCCACAGCGCTGGAAACACCCAACATTAAATGAATCCTTGTCATTGGATTTCTATAAATACTTAATTACTTAAATACAATAAGGATGTTCTTCTATTATAAGAGAATTGTGCAATCTCTTACAAGAGGATATTCATTACTTTCTAACCATCTGTCACTTCAGTTCTCCAAACACCACACCTCCCCAAAAAATCTAATTAGTTTTTATTCAGTCACACATTATAAATGATGCTAGTGTGGATACTGAAAATGTAGTTTAATGAAGTTAATATCACGGCATAATGGAAGGCGGTTTGCTGAACAAAATGGACCAGAAGGCAAAGAAAGGAAAAGTCACACCCTGCTAATTCTACTATACATTTCTCAATTCCCATTGACTAGGAAACTATTGGCTAACAAGAAGGAAAAAGAGGGCAAATACCGTATCATAGATAAACTTACAGGTAGTAAAGTTTTCCAGCAGCAGGAAGCACCAGTTTCCTGTAGTCTATTCCAGAATCAAGCTGGACTGTGCTGCAGTATTTCTACAGAAAGAAAGAAAGGAAAAAAAAAAAAAAAAAAAAGAATAGCTTTCCTCAAGCCAAAGCTCTATTTATTATTGTCTGCGTTAGAGAGAAGACACACTGCTGTGATCAACTGTCAGCACAAGTATCATCTGCAAAACTGAAATCCAAGATCACAAAATTGACGTCTCCTTTATGATTATCGCTTCAGAGAAATAAGCTGGAAATCATTGACATATTCAAAACAAAAAAGTAACCATTTTCAAAAGTCTATCAACTAGAAAATTAATACAGATTGGAAGCACAGGGAATGAAATGAGGGTGGACATTACTCGTTCTCTCTGGGTAGTGCTTTGTTGGGTGGGTGTAAAAGTAATTATTTCCACATTAAAGAATATACATTTAGAAATAGAAAATTAGGAGAAATAAAAGTTTAACAGACCACAATCAAATTCTGGCAACAGAGACAAGTGAAATGACTTCTACTTTATAAGCTAAAAATAATTTTACCTTTTCCTTCCATGAAAATTAAAAATTTTGTGAGTCAAACATCAAATATATGAACCAGGCCAAGCCTTGCTGCAAAATGGACCAAAGCACAAAGGGGAATAAGCAAAGCTCTATATCAAAAAGATTTTGTTGCATTTTTGTAATGTCTGAATCGACTGAGAAAAACATCCTTCCCCCCCTCCCCTTCAACAACCTGTAAGATTCCAAGTGTGATATATATGTCCCTGAGTAGTCACAATAACTGCTTCTGTTAGAAAATCCAAAACCAGCTGTACTAACAGGTGCTTTTTTTGCTTCAAAGCTTGAGGCTGAGAAATTCTTAGAAATTCTCACTAACCTCAGTGGGATCAAGATTTTACACCCTCTGGCAAAGGGAATAGCTCTGCTTATCTGTTATTACTACTGCCAACAGTAGTAATATAGCTAGAAGCAAAAGAAGCTATAAAAGAAAGGGAGGAAAAGTTTTAATATTCTAGAAAATATACCTCTATCAATAATTTAATTAAAGCAATAAAACTTGGGGGGGTTGTAGGTAATTCAACACCATTAAAATTCTTTGGATTGCTAGAATCCACTAAAATACTCTGCTTCTTCACTGCAGTATGAACTATTAAGTTTATCTTTAACATGCTCATTAAGTGTTTCATATTCTGGCGTCAATTTTTTCAAAGCCTCCTTGAGGCCATTCAAATATCAAAATTGGAAATGTCAAATCTCATTTATAGCAACTACATTGCAGGAACAAAAAACCCCCTTAAATTTTAGAGGAACTATCATCAGTGCTTTCAGGAACAACGGCCCTTTTGAACAAATGTGTTGCATAGGATTTACAGATTACAAATATCTGCAGGAGTGACTGTGATGACTCATTACATTAATTTTTTGCCCTTGACTATTACTGAAGGCTCTATACCTATTTTAAACCTCCAACTTCTCTGCAAAGATATACAGCTGAAGAAAAAAGATGAACAAAAATCATCCCGAAAGCACAGAATCCCAGGAAAATCCATGTATCTTTAATTCCGGTAAGTGAAAAAGCCATGCTAATCAAATCATTATCTTGGGCTAAGGCTACTGCAAACACAATAGCATTGGTCCTACAATATTATTATAATCTATTCCCTTTCTTTTCATGAAAGCTTACAAAGAAAGAGAACAACAGCAGAAGAAAAAAGTTGCAGAGGCATGTAATAATATGCACAAGGGAGGGAAGATGTTTAAGCTTTTCTTCAGCATCAGTCTGGCAGTCAAGGCTAGAAGGAAGATTCCTGAAATTTCACAGCAAAGCTGGTGTACTTAGCTCCGCTTTGCCAGGCACTGATGTTCAGCATCTTTCTGCCTAATGTTTTATTTTTCCCAAGTAGTAGATTAGCTCAAGTATTATTTTCTTCATGTTAGTAGGGGGAAAAAAACCCAAAACATATGACTACAGCTATGTGAACTATGAGATTATTTAGATTAACTTCAGCTACTCAGATATTTGCTAACACTGTTTATTATTTTGGGGTGTTTTTTTCCTGAAAACAACAGATAGCAAATTTTGCATGAATTCAGCCTCATCTCTTCAGCCTTCAAGATGGGTTTACAAACTCTACAAAAGAGAGATCTCAGGGTGTTGCGTTGCATAGAGTGGAGAGTGAACACAGAACTACATGTACTTAAGAGTGTGGCATGGTTATGGTAGGGCTGAAAGAAAAAAAGATGCACCTGAACACTGTAGCTGGTGTAAATTTATTGTGTTGGTATTTACAGCGGTGCTTGTGGCTCAGCTGCTAACGACTGCTGAGAAGAGCAGACATTCTGTGCACTCAAATACAGACTGATACTGGGCTGTATTATGCAGGTCACTGCGGCTTGCTGACATATAAATCAGCACTTGGTACTACAGTATTTTAGCCCACTTGTGTTCTGCTTACAAATTTATCACTCCTTAAATGCACTGACAGTCTTGACTCCATGATTTAACCTTACAGCGAATGAGTTTTGAAGGTAAGAACTGTAGATGTAAATACCACCGGTATAGTTACAAAGTAGATGCATTTCTTCTGTCTTCCTTCCCTTTTCTCTTTCTTCAGAGTAATTAGTATTACCACTATTCAGGAAAAATCGCTATCATTAGTGACACTATTTAAAAAAGAGCTTGTGTGCTCAAAAGCTTATTTGTGGGTTTGGGCCCTTCTTACGCTACAAACAGTTGCCTAAATGAAAGATATTTCTTTTCCTTAAAAACCTTGTCTTGTATGTCTACAATAATGTACTACTATTGATTCTAATGTGATCTAACATTACATAGTTTATTTCACAAGTATGTTAGATATTCTGGGCTATAGGACTTCTCAGCCAGAAAGGCAGTAACAGCATCCTTTCTGTTCAGAGATATATACAATACAGTTATTATAGTCCTACTGATTTTTTGCTTCCTTGGGAGGCGAAAGTCAACTGAACCAAACGAAGAAAATGGAAAACCAGAATTCTGATATACAGCAGTTTTCTGTAATACACAATATAAGCGCAGAAGTAGGGGCCAGTAAATGGGAACAGAGAGATACGTAGTCTTCTGGAAAACATTTGGCATTTTACTATCCCGCTCCTTGGATGTTCCTAATTAATTTCTGGTTTTGCTTTGGGGTATTTTTTAGCTTAATTCTGTCCTATCTTTCAAATACAGTTCTGTTTCCTATTTTTCAAACCAGCATCCTCAGTCAAATTCTGGTTTATATATTACTTTGAAACTCTAGCATATTTTTCATCCATTACTGTCTCAGAACCACTGACTTAGACCTCAAAGCCAGTTTCTCCCCGCGCCCCCTCCTCCTCTTTTTTTGGCCTCTCCAGACTGATGCTCAGTTCAGAAAGGTACTCCAGGCATTTAGAGACCATATTCTAAATAATAATAAAACAGCCACAAGAATTTCCTAACCCTTCTACAGGTTCTTATGAGTAAGTATCTACCACTGTTTGTCATTAATTATTTTTACTGAGACACTTCAAAGCTCACTTACACCTATTCTGTTAGGCACTGTATCAATATGTAAAATGGACAGTCCCTACCATTAAAACATTATAAGCTGCATGGCAACATGCTCCCAGAAAACATTCCTTTAAAATGTGATTGCTGTTGTTAGATTGTAAGCTTTGTATTCCCCTTACATGAATATGTGACAGTAGAGTAAGATCTATAGGTGCTACTGGAAAATAACGTAACAAAAAAAAAAACTCCAAAGAGAAGTGTGACTAAAGAAACTGATCATTAAATGACAGGATGGAAGAAATTAATGCGAACAAACATGCACTGGTATGGGCAATGCTATTTACACTAATGGAGCTCTATGCAGTAGAGGAGAGACAGGGCGTGATAGCAATACCAGTGAACTGAAGGGCGGTAATGGGAGCAATGCTTGCACTGCCAGGCAATAACAGCAGCATTTCTTCTCCAAGTTAAGAATGTACCGGTGGAGGTGGTTCTAAAGGGTGATTCAGCACATGGTCACCTTTACTCAGAGTCACAAAAGCCACAAAGAAGCTATGCGCTGTGCAGAGATCCAAAAGTTTTTCCTTTTGGGGTTTCCTTTGTAGACAAGGGTACTTACTGTGGTTCTTTGTTTCTACACACAAAAACATTCACTTATCTGCTTCACAGGAGTGCAGAGGGCAAAATGTTCACATTTGTAAAGAGTTTTTTCATGAGAAATGTTTGTCAAAAAGACAGCACATAATCAGAATATATAGTAGAAGAAAATAAAGCACACCAAAATATTGTATAAGTCCAAGCTAAACATTCTAAAATACTAGATTTATAAAAATGAAAAACAGATACATGATTGCACAGTATGGAAAAACAAATATTGCTCACAGCTGTAAGAATTAAACATCGAACCTCAGAGAGGGTGTATATGTGAGTACCACCATGCAGCTTCTCTGCCTTTCACAGGTGTCAACAGCATTATACTCCTGCATTATGGAACTAGAAAATCGATACTATCATTTACAAACCCTGCAATTTTTGGG